TCAGGGGTCAGGAGTAAGTGATACAGAGTTCAGTGGGTTAAGTTTTGGCTGCAAGTGCTGATCGAATGCAGCCGTGGTTTTCCAGAATAACTGCCTTCAATTGGAAGTCAGTCTTATCGAAAGACTGTCTTCTGTTGAACATTTTAGCTTGCATCCCTTGACGGGAAGTTCTCCACGACCTAGCTGAAACCGATGATTTTTGGTCCAGTGGTATACCCTGCCTAACTGGTGCAGAGTTCAGTGGATCAGGATTTTAAGTGACGCAGAGATCAGAGGTCAGGAGAAAGTGAGGCAGAGTTCACTGTCAGGGGAGAGTTTAGGGATCATGGAGTACAGTGACTGCAGAGTTTAGGGATCAGGAGTAAGTGATGCAGAGTTTAGTGATCAGTGGTAAAGTGACCTTCACTGGGAATTTAGGGATCAGGGGTAACCCAGTGACGCAGATTTAATCAGGAGTAAGTGATGCAGAGTTCAAGGGTCAGCATTTCAAGTGAATGCTGCAGAGTTTTAGGGATTCAGGGGTAAGTGACCCAGAGTTTATGGATCAGGAGTAAGTGTTTCAGAGTTCAGGGTGTCAGCAGTAAGTGACGCAGAGTTTAGGCTCTCAGGAGTTTCTTATTTCAAACACAACCTGCAGAGTTTAGGGAATCAGGACTAAGTGACACAGAGTTTATGGATCAAAGTAAGTGACGCAGAGTTTATGGATCAGGAGTAAGTGAGCAGAGTTTAGGGATCAGGGGTAAGTGACCCAAAGAGTTTATGAATCAGGAGTAAAGTGATGCAGAGTTCAGGGGGAAAAAAAATGACGTGGATTTCAGCAGTAAGTACGACGCAGAGTTTAGGGATCAGGGTAAGTGACCAGAGTTTATGGGATCAGGAGTAAGTGATGCAGAGTTTAGGATCAGGGGTAAAGTGACCAGAGTTTATGGATCAGAGTAAGTGATGCAGAGTTCAGGGGGTCAGCAGTAAGTGACGCAAGTGTTTAGGGATCATGAGTAAATTATGCAGAGTTTAGGGTTCAACAGAGTAAGTGACACAGAGTTTATGGATCAGGATAAGTGACGCAGAGTTTAGGGATCAGGGGGTAAGTGACCCAGCCAGTTTATGCTGATCAGGAGTTTTTGATGCAGAGTTCAGGGGTCAGCTAAGTGGTGCAGAGTTTAGGGATCAGGAGTAAATTATGCTGAGTTTAGGTTCAGAGGAGTAAGTGACACAGAGTTTTATGGATCAGGAGTAAGTGACGCAGAGTTTTATGGATCAGGAGTAAGTGATGCAGAGTTTAGGGATCAGGGTTAAGTGATACAGAGTTTTGGATCAGGAGTAAGTGACGCAGAGTTTATGGATCAGGAGTAAGTGATGCAGAGTTTAGCGGTCAGATTCAGTGGTAAGTGACCCAGAGTTTAGGGATCAGGGGTAAGTGACGCAGAGTTTAGGGATCAGTGAGTAAGTGACCCAGAGTTTAGGGATCAGGGGTAAGTGATGCAGAGTTTATGGATCAGCAGTAAGTGACCCAGAGTAGGGATCAGGGTAAGTGATGCAGAGTTTAGGGATCAGTGGTAAGTGACCAGAGTTTAGGGGATCAGGGGTAAGTGATACAGAGTTTATGGATCAGGAGTAAGTGATGCAGAGTTCAGTGGTCAGCAGTAAGTGATGCAGAGTTTAGGGATCAGGAGTAAGTGACGCAGAGTTTAGGGATCAGGGGTAGGTGATGCAGAGTTTAGGGGTCAGCAGTAGGTGATGCAGAGTTTAGGGATCAGTCAGTGGTAAGTGACCCAGAGTTTAGGGATCAGGAGTAAGTGACCCAGAGTTTATGGATCAGGAGTAAGTGATACAGAGTTTAGGGATCAGGAGTAAGTGATGCAGAGTTTAGGGATTAGTGGTAAGTGATGCAGAGTTTAGGGGCAGGAGTAAGTGACCCAGAGTTTATGGATCAGGGAGTAAGTGATGCAGAGTTCAGGGGTCAGCAGTAAGTGATGCAGAGATTAGAGATCAGGAGTAAGTGACGCAGAGTTTAGGAAATCAGGGGTAAGTGACGCAGAGTTTAGGGATCAGGGGTAAGTGACGCAGAGTTTAAGGGATCAGGAGTAAGTGACGCAGAGTTTATGGATCAGGCGTAAGTGATGCAGAGTTTAGGGATCAGGAGTAAGTGACGCAGAGTGTAGAGGTCAGGAGTAAGTGATGCAGAGTTTAGGGATCAGGCATAAGTGATGCAGAGTTTAGGGATCAGGCATAAGTGATGCAGAGTTTAGGGATTAGGAGTAAGTGACGCAGAGTTTAGGGATCAGGCGTAAGTGGTGCAGAGTTTAGGGATCAGGAGTAAGTGATGTAGAGTTTTGGATTAGGCGTAAGTGATGCAGAGTTTAGGGATCAGGAGTAAGTGACGCAGAGTTTATGGATCAGGAGTAAGTGACGCAGAATTTGTAGGGATCAGGAGTAAGTGATGTAGGTTTATGGATTAGGTGTAAGTGATGCAGAGTTTAGGGATCAGGAGTAAGTGACGCAGAGTTTAGGGATCAGGAGTAAGTGACACAGAGTTTAGGGATCAGGAGTAAGTGACGCAGAGTTTATGGATCAGGAGTAAGTGACGCAGAGTTTATGGATCAGGAGTAAGTGACGCAGAGTTTAGGGATCAGGAGTAAGTGATGCAGAGTTTATGGATCAGGTGTAAGTGATGCAGAGTTTATGGATCAGGTGTAAGTGACGCAGAGTTTAGGGATCAGGAGTAAGTGACGCAGAGTTTAGGGATCAGGAGTAAGTGATGCAGAGTTTAGGGATCAGGAGTAAGTGACACAGAGTTTAGGGATCAGGAGTAAGTGACGCTGAGTTTAGGGATCAGGAGTAAGTGATGCAGAGTTTGGGATCAGGAGTAAGTGATGCAGAGTTTAGGGATCAGGAGTAAGTGACGCAGAGTTTAGGGATCAGGAGTAAAGTGACGCAGAGTTTAGGGATCAGGAGTAAGTGACGCAGAGTTTATGGATCAGGAGTAAGTGACGCAGAGTTTATGGATCAGGAGTAAGTGACGCTGAGTTTATGGATCAGGAGTAAGTGATGCAGAGTTTAGGATCAGGAGTAAGTGATGCAGAGTTTTAGGGATCAGGAGTAAGTGACGCAGAGTTTAGGGATCAGGAGTAAGTGACGCAGAGTTTAGGGATCAGGAGTAAAGTGACACATAGTTTATGGATCAGGAGTAAGTGACGCTGAGTTTATGGATCAGGAGTAAGTGACGCTGAGTTTACGGATCAGGAGTAAGTGACGCTGAGTTTACGAATCAGGAGTAAGTGACGCTGAGTTTACGGATCAGGAGTAAGTGACGCAGAATGTAGGGATCAGGAGTAAATAACGCAGAGTTTAGGGATGAGGAGTAAGTGACGCAGAGTTCAGGGGTCAGCAGTAAGTGATGCACAGTTTAGGGATCAGGAGTGACGCAGAGTTCAGGGGTCAGGAGTAAGTGCCTCAGAGTTCAGGGGTCAGGAGTAAGTAACATGGGGTTCAGGGGTGAGTAGTGAGGCAGATTTCAGGAGTCAGGAGTAAGTCGGGCAGAATTCAAGAGTCAAGAATAAGTGATGCTGAATTCATTAGTACCTGATGTTATCATATTTCTGAAATCAATTGCACCAAATGAGCAATGTGATCAATAAATTCCCTTTCATCAAAAAAAAAATTTGGTCTTATTGGAAAACCCTATGGAATTTGGTTAGTATTAATCATTTGTTTGTTGTGAAATGTTCAGATCTCTGATTGATTGCTTATCTGTACTTACATGGCCAGCATAAACCTGTTTATGTTCAAAAAATATTCATAAAACAAGTGGTCAGCCTCACTGCTAAATAAATCCACATACAATGTAGACATATGAGTGGAGGAACATAAATTATCACTATAGTAACAAGTGAAAAATAAATCACAAACCACGGTCTTGTGAGTGTATTTTTATACAATTTAATAAATTGATACAGAGTTTTTAACAAAGTGGATTTATATTCTTTGTAACTATTGAGAAATATATTAGGCCTCATGCACACCTGAAATAAAAAATGCTGCTTATACAGGCATTTTTTTTTTTTAACCAAACAAAAATGAATTATTGTGACGCCAATTGAAAGTGATATGAGTTTATAAATTAACCCCCTAGGGGTTTTTTACAGCTGTTCCTAAAAAGTGAATGTGACACTTGTAAGTGAATAGATAGGCACTGTACTCAAATAAAATATGTAATATAAAAATATATATATATGCACCCTGTAAACCCAATAAAACATTATTATTATTATACAGGATTTATATATAGCGTCAACAGTTTGCTCAGCGCTTTACAATATAACGGGAGACAATACAGCAACAATACAGTTCAGTACAAGAGGGATAGGAGGGCCCTGCTCTTTGGAGCTTACAATCTAAGAGGGAGGGGCTAGTGGTACAAAACGTAATAACTGTGGGGGATGGACTGGTAGGAGGAGTAGAAGATTCCATTATTAGCTGAAGGTAGGATAAGCTTCCCTGAAGAGAGAGGTTTCCAGAGATCGCCTAAAAGTGAGCAGAGTAGGCGATAGTCTGATAAATTGGGGTAGAGAGTTCCAGAGGATGGGGGAAGCTCTGGAGAAGTCCTGGAGATGAGCATGGGAGGAGGAGACAAGGGAGCTAGAGTAGCAGGTCGTGTGAGGAGCAGAGAGTACAGTTTGGGTGATATTTGGAGGCAAGATTGGAAATGTAATTTGGGCAGAGTTATAAATGGCTTTATATGTTATTGTTAATGTTTTGAATTGTATCCATTGGGCAATGGGAAGCCAGTGGAGGGATTGGCAGAGAGGGGTAGAGGACACTGAGTGGAGGCCAGTGTAGGGATTAGCAGAGAGGGGTGGAGGACACTGAGTGGAGGCCAGTGGAGGGATTAGCAGAGAGGGGTGGCAGACACTGAGTGGAGGCCAGTGGGAGGGATTGGCAGAGAGGGGTGGAGGACACTGAGTGGAGGCCAGTGGAGGGATTGGCAGAGAGGGTGGAGGTCAGTGGAGAGATTGGCAGAGAGGGGTGGAGGACACTGAGTGGAGGCCAGTGGAGGGATTGGCAGAGAGGGGTGGAGGTCAGTGGAGAGATTGGCAGAGAGGGGTGGAGGACACTGATGGAGGCCAGTGGAGGGATTGGCAGAGAGGGGTGGAAGACAGTGAGTGGAGGCCAGTGGAGGGATTGGCAGAGAGGGGTGGAGGACACTGAGTGGAGGCCAGTGGAGGGATTGGCAGAGAGGGGTGGAGGACACTGAGTGGAGGCCAGTGGAGGGATTGGCAGAGAGGGGTGGAGGACACTGAGTGGAGGCCAGTGGAGGGATTGGCAGAGAGGGGTGGAGGACACTGAGTGGAGGCCAGTGGAGGGAAGAGAGGGGTGGAGGACACTGAGTGGAGGCCAGTGGAGGGATTGGCAGAGAGGGGTGGAGGACACTGAGTGGAGGCCAGTGGAGGGATTGGCAGAGAGGGGTGGCAGATACGGAACGGTTAGTAAGATGGATAAAATAACTGAATAATGAGTATTGGGAGTGAATGCCAATAACTGGATTTCAAACAATTCATAAACCAAACAATACACATAATAAAAATAAAAATAATGATAGCTAGATAATCCTAATTTTATAAAAATTCTTTATGCTTCCACCATGTGCTGGATGAATTCAAATTGTGACAGTCCTTCTTAGACCTCAATCATTAGTGACATAGAAATCTATGTGTCTACTGTTTTGGGAAAAAACTCTTATAGACGCAAACACTCCTAAATGCGTATACAATATGCTCCATTTTTCTGCTTCCTTCTTCCTCCAGTTCTGGCATTTTTTCTGCTGCCCAGTGTACAAGTTTTTGTGGCAGGATTTTTAGCATTAAATCTTCTTCAGGAATATCTCTCTTCCACTGCCTCCTTTTTGCTAGTTCCACCTCCACTAAGTTGGAATTTATGCTGTTTAAAGCTCACGCTGTCAAAAAATAAAAGTCAGCAGCTACAAAAAACTGTAGCTGCTGACTTTTATAAAATAGCCACTTACCTGTCCTTCAGTCCCGTGGTGTGTCCCCCGCAGCCCGTTTCACCAGCCGTCCTGTATTCCAGGCGCCGGCATCTTCAGTGTGGGCACCCGGCTGTGATCGCTTGAGGCTTCACAGCCGGGTACCCACTGCGCATGCGCGAGAAGCGCTGCGCTTCATGAATGGTCCTGTAGGCCTCTGGGACCTGTCCTGTGTCCCAAAAGACTACAGGAAGGGAGGGAGGTAGGACACCTTTCTCTTCTTCCGAACCTGTCAAATTTGAGTACCCGCTCCCCAAAGTGCCAATCCTTAATGGGGAGCGGGGGGGGAACAGTCCTTAAAGTGGAATTTTCCCTTTTGGGTGGAGCGCCGCTTTAAACAACGTACAATAAAATGTTCTTTAACCACTTGCCACTTGCTGTTTTTAAACGGCAGGATGGTGGCACTCCAGCGGCGGGTTGCCGTTCATAAACGGCACCCACTATTTCTAGTTGTGCGCGCTCCCTGGGAGCGTGCAGCACCGCGATCCGGTGCCCGCTGTGTCCTCCGGACACAGTGAAACACTGATCGTCAGACGGGACCTCTGTACGAGGTCCCGATCATGTGATCACTGATTGGCCAATCAGTGATCACTTGCAAAGTAGTAAGCAAGATGTCACTTGTGAAATCTGTGAATGATCACAGAGGTCACATGGTACAAGGCTATTCACAACAGCCTTGTACCATGTGACAAGCTCTGACCAATCACAGCTCACACAGTATTTCTCAATGGCTACAAGAATGCAGACAGAGAAAGAGAAATTATTGCTTTTACATCCTACAGTATATGGGTGTAAAAGCAATCACTGTAAAAAAAAAAATCTTCATCACCCCCCACAAGTACTACAGTGTCACCATGGTGACACTGAACTGCTAGGGTGACGGTATGTAAAAAATAAATAAATAATAATATAAAAAAAATAAAATAAAAATGTACAAAAAAAATGTTTAAAAATTATAATTTTTGGTTATAACTAATTTGGTGTATTTTTTTTTTACTAAAAAGATAACAGAATAAATTTTGGCCAAGATTTATGATGAAAGATTATTTATTTGCAAAATTTTATAAGAAACACTTTTTTTCAAAATGTTTGGACTTTTTAATTTATATAGCAAAAAAAAATAAAAATCCCAGTGGTGAATAAATACCATCAAAATAAAGCTTTATCTGTCTCAAAAAAATGGTAAAAAATTCATATCGGTACAGTGTTGCATGACCGCGCAATTGTCATTCAAAGTGTGATAGCACTGAAAGCTGAAAATTGCCCTGGACAGGAAGAGGGTAAAAGTGTCCAGACAGGAAGTGGTTAAAGGTCTACTCTAACAGTGTTGTAATCCTCTTGTGCTCTCAATATCATCCAGTGATACAATGTTTGGACCCATATTTTTTTATTATTCGGTAATTTGACTTTGTCTGGCTTTGCTGACATTTTGGTAATATTTTCTTGGGTCCTAGTACAGTATCAATTTTCTTATTTGAGTCCTTGGTTAATAAAATGTAGGAATGCCTAATCTATAGCAACCAGTGATGATTGGTAGTAATCGGTTCCTTCTTTCATCATGGTTCATACCATCATTGGATCTATCTACATACACTTTTGCACAGCCTGAAGCTGCCCAGGAGCTATTAAGAAAGTTCCTGGGATGAGATCTTTCTACATACACTATATTGGGCCAAAAAGTATTGGGCCGCCTGCCTTTACAAGCACATGAACTTTAATGTCCTCCCAGTCTTAGTCCGTAGGGTTCAATAGGATTGAGTTGGCCCCGCTCCCTTTGCAGCTATAACAGCTTCAACTCTTCTGGGAAGGCCGTCCACAAGGTTTAGGAGGGTGTCTATGGGAAGGTTTGACCATTCTTCCAGAAGCACATTTGTGAGGTCAGGCACTGATGTCGGACGAGAAGGTCTGGCTTGCAGTCCCCACTCTAATTCATTCCAAAGGTGTTCTATCAGGTTGAGGTCAGGACTCTGTGCAGGCCAGTCAAGTTCTTCCACCCCAAACTGGCTCCACCATGTCTTTATGGACCTTGCTTTGTGCACTGGTGTGCAGTCATGTTGGAACAGGAAGGGACCACCCCCAAACTCTTCCCAGAAAGTTGGGAGCATGAAATTGTCCAAAATGTCTTGGCATGCTGACGCCTTAAGAGTTTCCTTCACTGGACTAGGGGGCCAAGCCCAACCCTTGAAAAACAACCTCACACCATAATCCCCCCTTCACCAAACTTTACACAATGCAGTCAGGCAAGTACTGTTCTCCTGGCAACTGCCAAACCCAGACACTGATTGCCAAATAGAGAAGCGTGATTGGTCACTCCAGAGAACATGTCTCCACTGCTCTAGAGTCCAGTGGCAGCGTGCTTTACACCACTGCATCCGACACTTTGCATTGCACTTGGTGATGGCTTGGATACAGCTGATCAGCCCTAGAAACCCATTCCAAGAAGCTCTCTATGCACTGTTGTTGTGCTAATCTGAAGGCCACACGAAGCTTGGAGGTCTTTAGCTATTGACTCTGCAGACAGTTGGTGACTTCTGCGCATTGTGCGCTTCAGCATGCACTGACCCCGCTCTGTCATGTGACGTGGCCTACCACTTGGTGGCTGAGTTGCCGTTGTTCCTAGTTGCTTCCACTTTGTTATAATACCACTAACAGCTGACCGTGGACCCATTCTTTCACAAATGTCTGTAGAAGCAGTCTGCATGCCTAGGTGCTTGATTTTATACACCTGGGCCATGGAGGGGATTAGAACACCTGAATTCCATGATTTGAAAGGGTGTCCCAATACTTTTGGCAATATAGTGTATCATATAAATAAAGTTGTCATGGTTGACAAATAATCAGACTTGTCATAGGAGTTAAATGAAGGCACCCTTGGGTAACTCTAACACCAAATATTGTTGCGCTGCGTCAAGAAAAAAAAAAACCTCTTTACAACTCAACCAATTCATATAAGGTGCAAATGTTATAAATGTGTAAAAATGCAAATACGTAATTAAATCAATGACGTTAGGCCTAAACAAGGTACTCATATTTGTATTAAACAGAACAGTGGGTCCTGGACCATGATGACGTCAGCTTAGCCCCGCCCCAACATGTTTCGTCATAGGAAGACATTCTCAAGGGGATTCAGAGCCTAACAAAGCGTTCTAGGCAGTTTCAAACTATGTGGCATTTATGATTCATCTTTTTCCGGTCCACCACATATTCCTTTTGCTGAGTTCTGTTGTTTCTTGCTGGGTCCAAACAGAACTGCACAGCGCCCAAGCCTTTCAGAACAATCGCCAGTAGACCTCCTATGCTTTGGGTGAGAGGCTGGTGTTTTATGTGGTGGAGGAATCAAATGCAGTATTTTTCATGGAGGAATCTGCTCACTGAAGAATTTTTAAGCATTAGCGCAAAAATCGTGGTTTTTACACAATGCAGCAATGAACTATAAGATTAATTGACATAAGATATAAACTTTATTCATATTTAATTAATTACATGTTTGCACATTTAGAACATTTTCACATTATATAAATTGGTTGGAGAAATTATGTATTTGTGATATTTGCACAAATGTAATTTTTTATGATGCAGTGCAACAATATTTGATGTTAGGATTGTTGCCACACTTGGTGTTTGGATGTGTATTTGAGTGCAGCTGCTTTTATTGATTTTGCTATATGATTTTTAGTCACTGAGCGCAGTTATATTATTTTGTCACCCTTGGGTAAGTGTGAATACTTCGGAAAGTTATCTTAAGTGCTTCCGGTGCCCAGGATCCTGTGAGCTCTGATATAAAAATGTTGATACTTCCTGAGTGGGTGCAGAATGGTAGTCTGCTGTCTTCCACCATCTGTACCTACTAATAGGCCAGGAAAAGATGCCCAATTTATGCTTGGGTGAGGAATAGTTGGAAAATTTTGGGAGGAGGAGTTCTTGTTTGGGGGGGGAGGAGCAATTTCTGCATAGGAGGGAGAGAAATTTTGCTTAGGAGGCATCTGGGAGAAATGCTTGCATTGTGGAATAGGTGGAAAGAAGTAGAAATGGTTTTCTTCGGGGAGGGGGTCGTGTTGGGAGGAATTTGTGGAACAGCTGAATGTGATATACTCTAGATGCAGAGCTGCATGTTATATGCCTGAATGCTGTACTGTGTGCTGTGTGTTAAATACTCTAGACCAGTGGTTCTCAACCTGTGGGTCGCAAACCCCTTTGGGGGTCGAATGACCCTTTCACAGGGGTCCCCTAAGATCATCAGAAAAACCCATATCTCCGATGTGTAAAGAGCAGCTACTGTGTAGAAAGCAGCTGCTGTGTTGAAAGCAGCTACTCTGTTAAA